CGGTCATTTGTAAATGGAAAAAATTAGAACAAAAAGGACCCTTGCTTTTAATATTTAACGTCAGTGTATACTTTTTGAATTTTTGGGCATAAATTGTTGATTTTGGGCACTTTTTGGGGAAATTTTGGGCGGAAATAAAATTTTCAAACGGCAACACTGCTCTTAACGCATTTAGCTTTCGCATCGCACTGGCTTTCGCAACGCAATACAGAGTAACCCCCCAGGTGTATATGAAAATGCATTTTAGTTTTAATAATTGGTCTGTTCTGTAAATGTATTTTATGTTTTAAAATATATTATTTGTACCATGGATTTGTACAATCTTCAGTCTTATTCGAGATGTTTAAACATATCTTTTAATGCATTCAATCGAAATAGCTCTTCCCTCAATTCAATGTAATCTAAGTACGACAGATTGCCGTTTTGCAACTGGAAATTTTTTACGTGTAGAACTCTCATGAGTTCTTTTTGTTTACGCACAATTCCTTTGTCATCTGAGGGCTCGGGACTACCCTTTACCTTCTTGTAAGTTTTCCCCTTCTTTGCTTTCTTGCTGGAGGTCTGAAAGTGTATATGGATGTAAAATATTTTGTTGTTGTTGCGTGTTTTCTGCCTCATATCATTGCATACCTCTGAATCCATATCAACAACGTGCGTATTGATTTCTGAACCTGTATCAATTAAAAACGTTCCACTTGGTGTGAATAGGAGAACAAGCCAACTAAACAGGGAACTCAAAACAAAATGAAATAGTTTACGAATGAGGTGTGATGCAGACGTCACAAAGGTCTAGATTATCGAGTTATCGATATGAGATATATATGTTGGTCTAAAAAGGGGTAAGCAAATTAGATCCGTCGTGTTGTGTTATATTTTAACTATTTGTGCGCGTTAACGCGGTAAGAAAAAGTCCTTAACTGCGTTTATATTTAAAAAATCGACTCGAAAAAGATCAAAATTATGAATGAATTAAAAATCGTAAAAAAATCTTAAGGGGGAACACGTTCGAAGATTCAGCCTTGGCCTCTTAAATTGTCTTCGTATGAAATGTCAATGTTTAAATATCGTATCAGGGTCGTATCATATCGTGCGTATGCGTACGATTTTATTAACCTCAAAAGTTAAATACATGTTTTGACAATGCGTATATTGGATTTTTTTGTTTGTTGATTTTCTATAAATGTTTTGTTTTTCTATAAATAAAAACATTTTCGGTTAATTAAGAATGAATTTCAATAAATAAAATAAAATGTTTTCATCCATTATGGCCGTTTTCAACTGACACACAAGTAAATAAGGTCCTTGCGTATTTAAGTAATACAGACGTTTAAAAAGTCTGCTTTTCCACAGGTAAATTTTTATTTGGCAAATACTGAGTTTGTTGTCGAGAGGGGTGCGAGGAAGAAAAACAAAAATTTGCCTGTTCAGAATTTGCCGTACACGCAAATTCTGCTTTGCTCTGTTCGTTGAAAACAATTTTGTTGACATTTCCTTTTGAACCTATTCGCTTTACTGACACACAGCCGGCTTTTGTTTACAAACCTGTTGCTTTAATTTGTGCAAGTGAAATTTAATTTTTAATTTTTGCAATTTATATAATAAAATATATAAAAAATAAAATATTAAAAAAAAAATTTTTAAAATGCAAACAATTTTGACGTTTTTTTTCTTTCTTTTGTATTTTGATTCGCAAATTTGGCAAAGAAAAATTTGCTAATGGAAAAGCAAGCAAAAATTTCAAAAGAGAAAACAAAAAATTTGTCAAATAAAAATCTACCTGTGGAAAAGCGGACAAACCCTATGAAGGTGAGAAGATGGGTATTTTAGTACGAAACGCACTTGATTTTGGACGCCGTCATCCTTTATTCTTTTATAATAAAAATAAGCCAACTTACTTATACGTCACGTTAATCCAGTTCACAAATCCAGTGGATTATATTTGACGTATACGCAATGGAATTGACGTGTGAGATTGAGTGGATTTAGTAGTCTAAACGTAGCTTTAACATGCCAATATTGAAGTCCTCTTGTGTGAATCGATTGGTTTTTACAAAATGTTTTTGATATATCAATTTTACTACAACAGTCAGTTTCTTGTTGTAGAAATTCGCCTATGCTACTACCATGGACATACCAAAAAATAAACACCGCCGTCCATAGTAAAATGTAATACCGCCCTAACTTGAAAAACTGTACTTAAACTTGTCGCCATAGTCAAATATGTATCGACTGTGACTTTACTATGGATACGTAGAAGTATGATCCAATAATAAGGTCGTCCGACAAGGCCAGATGATTTCAACCGAGCTGTCAAAATGCTTTCGATTTTGACTGCAATGTGTGAAAATGTAAACAAAATATTTGACAGTATGGGGGATTTTAATCCAAAATTGTCGAAAACGATTGCTTCTGACCCGACCTGTTTATTGGATCATGCGTAGAAGAGGGCAAAAGTTGACTTTTCGATTTTGTCGAACATGTTCAAAACCGAGTTTCCACTTTTCTATTTATTAATAATAACGCCGTCAATACAGTCAGTATGGCTTGGTTCTCTTTAAGGCGGTTCTCATTTAGTCTCCATCCCACCTCATTCGTAAGTGTGGTTTTATATTTATCGGGATCGGTGTTGAGAGTTTCTCTCTCTCAGTGGTAAATTGTGAATTGTGTTGGAAAACATTACCACAGGTAGGAACAAAAAAGTACGAAAAGGTACCTAAAATTCTACTTGAAATGATAATAAATCATAATTATCGAGAAATATTGGCCAATATTTATACCAGTTATTTGCATAAATAATATATGTTATAATTTAAGGGTAATGTATTCACGAATAATAAAAAATCTAAATTTTGTTTTGGTACGTTTATGTCAATTCGTTCCTTTTGTGAACAAAAAGTACGCTTGTTACAAAATTTAAAATAGCGCAACTCTAATTACTCTCTCAAGAGAGAGAAACTCTCAACACCGATCCCGATCCCGACAAATATAAAACCACACTAAGCAATTCGGTTCTCATTTAGTCGCCATTTTGTCTTCTCCTCCTATTCGTTGGAAGGTGGAACGTTTTTCATTTTGTCTTCAGTCTTTGAAAAAGGCGCTGTGAAGGCGGGATTGTTTTTTTGTTGTTTATTTTTTAAATTGATAAAATCATTGAAACCAAAATGGATTGCAATAACGAAACAACGCGAATATTAAATTCCGAGACAATAGAACAATTGCAAAAAGCTCGTGATGAGGAGCTTGCTAAGGTACGCAAGTTGCGCCTTGTCCTGAAAGAACTCAAACAGTTGAACTGTAATAAAATGTTAATTCCCGACAAAGAGCAAATCGAAAAAACTTTGAAAGTCATTAAAATCGGTAACTATTTATACTTAAACGAGAAAAGGAGTGAATGTCTTTTGGGTAAATATAATTGTCACTTACTGGGGAGTTTTTTTTTATTAACGCAAATCTGTCCATTTTAGACTTGAACGAACTGTGCAAAGTCAATCTTAATTACACGGAAAGAAAAGCCGTGAGGCAGCAGTTATCAGAGAAATTGCATGCTAATTTGACTCGTATACAAGATTTTGGGACTAAAATGAGGGATGAACTGCCCGAATTGTTTTGTGACTCCGAGTCTCCGCACGAAGAGATATTAAGTCTGGAAATGCAGAGAAAATCGGACTGCGAACATCTTGCCTCTTTGCGGAATAAAAAATGTCATTTCTTAAAAGTGGCGGCTGATTTAAAAATGGGACCATATCTGGCTTACGAACTGGATGTTGCCTATGCCAAGGCTCGACAAAATCAAACTAAAGTCAATGTCTTACGTGGATATTTCATTAATGAGTTATTATCCCGAACTGAACATAGTCTAAAGGCTATAAGGGAAGTAGAAACATATATTAATGATGACCTCGAAAATGAATTGTACACAAGCAACTAACCTTTTCCAAAATATGAGTAGTAGTAGAAGTAGTTTTTATTATGGAATTTACGATTGTATGAATTTATGTTTTCAATTTTTTGAATTATTATTACTTTTGTGTAGTTTATCCTTTATTAAATTAAGCACTTCATATGCATTTTATAATGGCTTAATGGCTTTATAATTTATCTTTAATGGGCCTGAAGGCTTTGAATTAAAGTTTAATAAAATTGAATTGAAATTGTTAATAAAATGTTGGCGAGACCAATAATTTACTATTTTATTTAAATATATACTATTTTACTTTACACAAAGAAACGCAAAAGCTAATTTCAGCCGACGACTTACGATCAAATGTGATAAATAGATATATGTATAACTTGCTTAGATATGGTATAATAGCAGAATAGACTAAAAGTAAGTAGTGTATATATGCCAAACATTTCATTTTTGACTTTATGAGTATCATGTACGTAATTCCACTTTATGATACCCTTTCTAGGTATCATAAAGTGGAATTACAACTTCAAACTTTCAAGTGAACATCTAAAAAATTCTGTTAGATATAGCCGATTTACTGTGTCAGCATCAAGTGACGACATGATTGCTTCTCAAACTTCAAACGCCTTTTTCTCGAAACAGTTTTTTTACGTATGGCGGGGACGATAACTCAAAACCTGTTAATCCAACCGAGCGGTCTGTTTAAACCGGAAACTGTACGATTTGAAATATATGAATATATTGACTACCAAGCAGATCTATTTAAAATATTTTTTTCCTTTTCCCAATTATCGATATGAAAATCTGCATTGTCAAAAGTTTTTGACAAATCAAGTGCTATAAGAACAAAAATAATTATTGATGGCTTCGGAAAACCAGCAATTCTATTTTTATTAAAATTACCAGTGGGTCTTTTGTCCTCCCTCTATTATATGCTGCACTTCAGCACTTCTATTGAAGTCGTTCGTATCACACACCATACAACAAATCGACATGTAACCATTTTAAAGCGTAAGCACAAACACACAAACTTTTATGTATTCATATCATATGGCGTACAAAGTAGTACATCAGGTTTAGACAACAAGTAATGCTGGATGAAATCGAGGAAAACAATGCCGAGGATCCTGTATGTATTGACCGACAGGGGCACGACTCCGATGTTGATGATAAGGATGACACGGTGAGCACTAGCACCGCAACGTCTCATAGCAGTTCGGGCCTTAATAAATTCCCTCGAAAGAGTAAGACAACAAAAATTGTAAAGCCGTCGTTTAGGTACATGTAGGTTTTTAAATGTGCATAAATAGAAAATTTCAAACGGTCTAACACATCTCCAACTTTCCAGTTGTCATCTGCGAGAGGATCACGGACAACCATTATTCGGTGTACAGTTCAATCATCATTTATGGCAACAGGCAATATTTGCATCGGTTGGAAAGGATCGAATATCCATTTATGAGTGCACGGAACCGCCTGAAGATGGCAGTGGCGGGGTAAAATTGTTGCAATGCTACGCTGATCCCGATGTAAGTCAGAGTGTGTGACATCATGTTCAAATCTAGATAAAATATATTCAATTTGTTTATAGCCAGATGAAAACTTTTACACTTGTGCCTGGTCCTACGATGTGGAGACATCTGAGCCAATTTTAGCCGCAGCCGGATATCGCGGAGTTATACGTCTTTTCAACATTTCAAAAAATATGAGCAACAAACACTTCATTGGCCACGGGCATGCAATAAATGAATTGAAGTTCCATCCAAAACTTCCATACATTTTGTTATCTGGCAGTAAAGACCATTCGTTGCGTTTATGGAATGTTAGTTCAGATGTGTGTGTAGCCATCTTCGGCGGTGTTGAAGGCCATCGTGATGAAGTTTTGTCTTTGGATTTTGACATTAAGGGGGATCGAATTATGTCGAGTGGAATGGATCACTCACTTAAATTGTGGTGTCTTAATAAGCCATCCATTCATGAGGCTCTACAGAGCAGTTGTCATTACAATGTGAACAAGAATGCGGCACCATATCCAACAATTAAAGAACACTTTCCTGATTTTTCCACCAGAGATATTCACCGCAACTACGTCGATTGTGTTGTCTGGTTTGGAGACTTTGTCCTGTCGAAATCCTGTGAAAATTCCATAATTTGTTGGAAGCCAGGCAAATTAGATCAAAAAGAAGTCCGGCCTCAGGAAACTGCTACTAGCATTATACACCATTTTGATTACAAAGAGTGTGAAATTTGGTTTGTTCGATTTGCATTTAATCTATGGCACAAAATGCTAGCTTTGGGGAATCAGCAGGGTAAAACATATGTTTGGGAATTGGATGCATCTGACCCAAATGCAACAAAGTGCAGTACCTTATTACATCCAAAATGTACTTCTGCAATAAGGCAAACTACTTTTTCCAAGGATGCATCAATTTTGGTTTGTGTTTGTGACGATGGAACAATATGGCGTTGGGATAGACTTTAAGGTCTTAATTGTATGTTTTCTAACTACTCACCCATTGAAGAGTGTTTAATGTTGACCACATTTCTCGCGTTTAATATAGGTATGTAACGTTATCGATTTTAATCAGTCGGAAACCTAAAAAATTGTCTTACAGAATATTCATGTCCTTGATTTTAATTAATGGGCAATGGGCTATTTATTTGACACAAAACACCGTAAGATATTCTACTACAGAAATTTGTATATCTAAAATAAATAAAAATAAACAATAATTTAAAAAAATTATTTTTCTAATAAAAGGTTAATGAAGAAAAAGCCATTGCCTAGAGAGTCGCTTCTTATTATTCGCCTCAAGATATCTATCTTGTATTATCGTACCATGAGTTTAGTAGCACCAATTATGCAAATAAAAAAAATTGAACTTATAATAACGTTTTCTAAGCTTACATGGAGAAACATTGATATGGCGGAAGATTATTAATCGAACAATGAAAATCCTACAATTCCTATTTCAGGAGAAATTTATTAATCTATAAAGTGGTAAGTTAATGGCACCTGGTGATTACAATATTTTCTAGTGGCGCTCCTTTACACAAAATATATGTGCTAGTTCCATATAGAGGAAGTTTGTTATGTCCAATGTAAGGCAAAACAAAGGCTTTGCAGGAAATATATAAATTTATATTAAAAATTAAACAAATGTATTTATTTAATAAAAAAAGAGGTCGTATTATTAAACGAAATTAACAATAATATATAAATATACAAATGTATGACTATACCAAGGGCTTGGGCATTTAAATTTAAGATTTTTCAAATAGTTAGTCCATACGTGTACTAAGCGACTAATTTAATGATAAAAAAGTAGCAGTTTTTAGTACTTTATGGTACAGAAATAGGATTACATATAATAGAATGGTGTTTTAGTGCCTTGTTTAATATAAATGACTTAAATCATCCTTAATTTTTTATGGCAAATGACAAAAATTGTGCCGATTTTAGGAATTGAATGAATAAATGGCTCTAAATTCTGATTTTAAATTGTATGTAAATGCGTCCGAAACATAATTTTTTTGAAAGAAATTTAAATTTCATCATTGCGTAAAGCGTTGCCACTTTTAGGAGAAGTGATGCATTTTTTTTATTTATTTTTTATTTGTTCTTTATTTTGTATTGGTACAAAAAAAAATTGTATTTGGAATTATCTCGATTTAGCTTAGGGTTTAGAACAAATCAAAATACTTAGCGGATTTTATTTTGTATGGTAAATGGAATTATACTGGGTTAAGGAATTCAATCGAAATATGATAACAGCTCCAGTCTAAACGCCCCTTTAGTTCTGTAGTCGAGCAAATCATCTCATTCCATCGAAATCTCTCGCGTAATTCACTAAAAATGACAACACGCCAATCACCACAGATAGGACGACGTCAAAATATAACGCCGACATTGTTGTATTCCAACGAGAAATTTTGCTCGTTGGTATAGTCAAGTTAACACGAATTGCAGCGATTAGTTACGAGCAATAAGATTTTTTGTATTCGAGATAAACAACAGAAAAACACAGGAAAAATTATCAAATAAGTAGTGAAAAAAGACAAAACAAGAGAAATTAAACTTTATACTCCTCAAGTAAATCAGCAACACAAGTGAGTAATCGTTTAACAACCAATAATGGTATCTATGAAAAATAGGGCTGCAATATATACGCCACAAGAAGTGTTGAAAAGGCAACGACGACACCAAACAGAAAAAAAAACATTCGGGAAAAAGCAAAGCGGATTATTAATAGTTCATTGATTGGTAGCACCATCTAGACAAAGCAGAGTTTTAAGATTTCTCAAGGTTTTTTATTACAATTTTATGATTAAATATATTGGCAGCCAGTGTTTCAATATCCGAATTGTTTTTGCGATGCCCTTCATATCGTTCATTTACAAAAATTTCTCGTTACAATGTAAGAAATCTGCAAAAATGTAAGCCAGAAAACAATCAAACTGGACTTTGAAACATGGAACAATGTTGTTTTCGTGTTGCCTCTGTGTGTGTGTGCAACATTATGCTTTATACCCTTCCCTTCCTTTCGGACTATGTACAATGATTGTACCACAAACAATCGTAACTGGTGTACACTATTCTCGAGATGTATGATGTTGAGTGGGGTTAATTTGTAACTTGGATCAATGGCTTAGTTACGAGGGCGATGTATTACGACTCCATATATATTTAATAAATTCGGATGTCGGAAGTCAAGTTTAGTGGTAATAGTATTATACACTCAGTTTAGATTTTAGAATTTGGAATTGTCTTTGGAACAACTTTAGTTAAAAAAAATCAGTTAATTTTAGTGGCTCATCTCGGATTTTTATGGAATGAAAATATTTAGCACAGATAGGACTCGATAATATGCGAATCAGGATAGTATGCGTATTTTTTGGGCGAAGTCCAGACAATATGTGTATTGTAGGCCTTCGACTCTCTTATAGTACATTTACATTGTACCGGATTTCGTTAACCCAATGGGTATAAATTGTCAATTACATTGTATATAAGGAAAACGCACCTAATTCCGGCAAGTACCAATAGTCGGCATCTGTTTTATATAACTTCAAATAACTAAAAAATCCTATAACTAAATATGAAAAACACCTTAAATAATCTTCAATAACACTGCAAGCTATTTCTGTATAAAATTTAATCAATGAGGCTTGTCAACATTAGCGATAATTCATTTTGCTTAAGAAAAACATAGTGGGCACGTCAATTTGCAAAGACTTGTAACTATATTAAAATTATATATTTTTTCGTAGTTGTAAAGGACCTTTTTCGTAGTCGGCATATGTGTGAATAATAGGCACATTTTCGAAAATTTTGGCTCAAAATTAGAAAAAGTGTTAAATAAGTGCTCTAAATAATGATTAATTTATAAAAAATCAGTTTTGAGTGGTTTTACATAATGGAGACATGGTTTTAATCTAAAAAGACACTATTTTACCTCATTATCAATTTTATCTACTTTAATACAAATTAAATACATTTTTACTATAATATATGAACCTAAATATAATATACTGAAAAAATGCTCTAGGGATGGTGAAATGTTTAAATTGCTAAAATCCTTAAAGTGCCGACTATTGTTGCACTTACCCTATGTCAAATAAATCCTTATAAAGTTGGTTAACCGGGCAAAAAGTTTTAATTCGAAATTCCTTTTAAATCAAAATTTTATTCAATAGCCCGACCTCGGACGGTGGTCAGGTTGAAAATTAGATTAGGCGATCAAAATTTATTCTAAATAAAAATGTTTATTACATAGCTGCCAATAATACATTCAACCACACATAAATAAATTACGAAGTTTTGAGCATATGAATTACGGAATTTCAGAGGCCTTTAGTTCGGGAAGTTTATACTTCCTCGATAAAACTCATGCAAATGGTGAATTAAAAAACAAAATAAGTCAATAAATATGGCGATATTAGGCAACATTTTATTTAATATTTCGAATTTGTGATGCAAATGGTGAATTAAAAAACAAAATAAGTCAATAAATATTTCGAATTTGTGATGGTTTCGAAAGGCTAGGATTTATTTGATTGCCTACGGATATACTTAATACATAGTTTTCTATTATCCTCACCAGAGTATTCTAAATGTGTAAACCGAATAAGCTAAGGTTAAGTTAAGAAAAGTGATAACCGAGAAAGTAGAACGAGTTATATATATATATATATATATATATCTACTACGTTTTAGGTATTTAAAAAACAGTGAAATGTTGTTATATCAATATATAGTAACGACCAAACCATTTATACCAGTAGGCAAATTTATGCCTTAGTCTTCCCTTGATGTTAACGTTTTTCATAGCGAGATTGCAATTTGAACAGGATAAAAACTTAAAGTTAAAAATGTATAAACGATTTCTACAGTGTACATTTAGTTTAAAAATAAGAGCGAACTGCGAGGACAAATTAATAAAAATACCTCAAAATTTATTTCTACTAAAAGCACTTAATGTATTACACAAGTGGGTGGTGAGGGATACAATAACAGCTCTAATGCACGGCATATGTATCAAAGGACATATATATATATATAGAAATCCTATCTGAAGTGTACTTTAGTATTTTTTCTGTACCGTAATGATATGTCAGGAGCGATTCCCTCTTTATTAATTTCGTTGGTATTGTAGTTGTATTGCATGCTTCCCTTTTGTTTGCATATAAGGAACAATTTACACTTAGGATGTCGAGTATAGGAATGGCGGAAAGGGCGAATGATGCGTGTTGTTTGTTTATTTTAATTATTCCGTTTATGTGTAGTCTGTTTGTTGCGGTAGGCGCCCAAGCTATACAATAATTTGTATTTTTTGCTGTTGTTTTGGAGGGACTACAACTTGAAATCGATTTGATGGAGTTGCTTGTGTTTGGTTCTTCTTGCCATTTGTTATTGGTTGTTGTACGATGGTACGTGACATATCGACAATTTTATTCACATGCAAGTTGCCTGATCACTTTCAACACCATTCCGTTTTTAGAAGTTTAAAAGGTTCTATTCAGCACTGTTGATCGCAGTAATCCTGCAAATTTTAAAAAAAAAATATGTAAAATATTTAGGAGAGGAGTACATATAGTAGAGAAGCGAAAATTATAATAATTATAACGACTAATTTTTGAGAAAATACAACTCGAGGTACAGAAACGTAAGCCAGCGTAAACGTTTATCTAAGCACCAATAGAATTTACTCTGTACGAATGTGTTATAGAAGGGTACAAGATTTTTTGTTATTCCATGGATTGCTTCGAACAAGTGTATGATTGTGTTTGTATTGTTATACTTAATCATTAGGGATGCCACCTGAGACCTTAAGAGATTGTTTAATACGGCACATAAATTTTGCGCATAATACAATCTGATAAGTATATTATTTTGGACAAAGTCATTGTACAGAGTCGGCAATAATTTCAAATATTTCTTAAACACTAAATAATTTAATAATAGTGATACATTTCATTATGAAAATAATAAAATATCGGATATTTTTTATCTTTTACATTCGACATACCTATTTTTATGATTGTACCTAAGCTAAACAAACAAAAGTTCTTACTCTCCTGTTGCATTTTCAATTATTTTCCGTATTTTTATTTTTGTTCGTGTGCATCATTGAACGCAGCGACAGCCGCCAGTCGCGTACAAACCGACTCACAGCCACACACACACACCATCAGTTAGTAGCTTCTAGTTAGCTGGCTATGCAGCTAGATTGTTGTTAAAATGGCCAGCTAGCAAGCAAGTAAACACTATTCAATCAGTCAATCAATCTTGAAAAGCATGCATTCAACGACGACGTCGTCGACGACTCCTTCGTGGGTTCACTTGACTGGGTATGGTTTGCACATTTTCTAACGTCAGTTGGCATTTACATCGTCGATTGATTACAACGTTTCGAGTCGGCACGTTCGAGTCGGATGGTGTAGCGGGTTTTCGTTCTTGATTGTGATAATTCATTCGATCACATAGTACCACCTACCCCACCTCATTTATCTAATAAATATCGAAACCAAGAGAAATAATCGAAAGCAACGAAAGAGAATGCTATATCGAACGACGATCCATCCAATCGACCATTCCCCACCAGTGTAACAAATCAAGTGTCTTGTGTTCTTATACCATCGATTTGCGAAATGAGAATAATTATTATTTGTGTGCATAAATTTATTGTGTATTGAAATTACAACAAAGGAAACGATGTTTGAATTCATTAAATGATACATAACATTATGGAGTAATTATTAATGCATATAATTATTATCCACTGCTAAGTGATGGCGCTTGACCACTGAATTCCTTATACAAAGCTCTGTGTTGCTGCTCAACTGAGTGTTCATTTATGTAATTGGTGTCGGTCTGTTGGATTACGTTGCTGTCACCGAGGAGGTCTAAAGTTTGCAAAGACTTCCAACGTTTATTTGCATCAATCGAATTGATTATTTTTGGATTTGGATCAGCTACATATTCGTCAACATGTGTATGTTCTATATGTTTAAAACGTTTAAAATGGTGTATATCTTAATATAGGGAGGGCTATTTATATACCGGGTTAACGAACAAATTGCAATTGGTAAACTTTTCTAAATCGTTGTGAATTAACAAAATACTCCATCTTAATTTATTCTAAGGAATGTCTAACTTTTCAATTTAAGTTACATTTTACCCAAATATCATTATTTGTCAACCTTTTTCATTTCATATATGTATATATACCAACGAACTCAGTGGGACCGGACCATTTAACGTGTTATAGACGTATTGAAAATTTGTGAAACCCGTAGAAGAACATCGAGTAATGAGGACTACCATTTCCTTTTTTCATATTATTTATTTTTATTTAAATTTTAACATATATAACGAAGCCATTAGGACAATAAATGTAATACATCATGCAAAACAGTATGATATATTGTCGACGGTGGAAAAATAAATAACATAGTAGATATGTTATCTTAATATATTCTAGGTCAATCATGGTATAATAAGAAAGATAGTCTCATATGTTTAAACATTTTTCCTTGCAGTACTTTTATTGTCAAAATGTTAATTTGCATTTCCAATAATTTGCATTGTTACTGTCAACTTAGAATACTTCTAATGTTTTTAATCGAATAATAATTGTTGTGGAAACGAATACAGTTAGTTGTGGCTAGATATGGACTAGTACCAAAACTAGATACTTGAAGAGAATCGTCACTTTCTGTATAAGCTAGTTATTACACGTCGCTTTGTGTAAACATAAACACACAATCACATTTACATTGGTATGGTTCTGTGCGACGTACGAGCGGAAGTACCTTAAATTATATGCGTTGTTGTTGTATTTATTTATATGCATACAGTATTTTTTTGTTTATCACACAATCGTCACCTCTCCAGCAAGAAATTTACCAAACAGCCAACGAACTAACAATCAGTGATTGGTTTTATGACTGATTAATTTAATAATGCGCATGCTCACCTGCATTTTAAACGAATAGTTTTGATTTAAAATGATTTTAGACGGTATTATTTCTATGCGTCAGATGTTCGTATTATTTAAGAAAATAAAACTTGTATTTTAAATAACTGAAATACCTGTAGACTTTTCAGACCTTTTGCAACTATTAGAAATTGCAATAACAATAGATTCATTTTGGCGGCAACATCCAAACTGTAGATACGTCGGCATGTTGGTAAACGTATTGACAAATGTTTTTTTTATTATTGAATGGGCAAATAAACCGCGATGTGTTTTCCAATTGTATCAGACACATAACTCAAAGCCATTGAGTTTCGTTTAACCAATATGGAAAGATATCTAAAGTGAATGTGAAATTTGTAAAACACCCTACGTCGTTTTCCGATAATATATAATGAATTTCTCTCTTTGTCAGATTATTCCACTTCGACCAGTTATACCGATTTTCGGGTAAACAATACATTACCCAGAATGGATACGGACGATGTTGAATCAACTTCCAGCAGTGCAATGTCCAAAATTGGAGCATTATTTACGTTTACTTCACCGGCAGTCAAAAAATTGCTCGGTTGGAAACAAGGAGACGAAGAAGAAAAATGGGCAGAAAAAGCCGTAGACAGTTTGGTGAAAAAACTAAAAAAACGACAAGGAGCCATAGAGGAATTGGAAAGGGCTTTATCGTGTCCAGGACAACCATCGAAATGTGTGACTATACCTAGGTCTTTGGATGGGCGTCTTCAGGTAGGTTGTAATGTAATGTTAGCAAAATAATACTAATATTGCGTACGGTTTTTATTTAAGGTATCTCATCGCAAGGGTTTACCGCATGTAATATATTGCCGAGTTTGGCGCTGGCCCGATCTACAATCACATCACGAACTAAAACCATTGGAAATTTGCCAATATCCATTCTCAGCTAAACAGAAAGAAGTGTGTATTAATCCTTATCACTATAAGCGAGTGGAGAGTCCAGTATTGCCGCCTGTTTTAGTTCCGCGGCACTCAGAATTTGCTCCAGGACATTCAATGCTACAATTCAATCAAATGGGAGAATCGACCATGCCTCACAATGTTAGCTATTCAACGGCCGGATTCAACAATCATCTTAGTCCCAACAGTCCGCCAATGACTTCGGTTGGCAGTCCAAGTTCTGTAAATTCCAATCCAAACTCGCCGTACAGCAGTATGGCTGAGACACCGCCACCAGCCTATAGTCCGTCAGAGGACGGCAATTCAAACAATCCGAACGATGGCACACAAATGCTTGATGCACCCATGGGGGACGTTGCCCAAGTCAGCTACCAAGAGCCGGCATTTTGGGCCTCAATTGCCTATTACGAATTAAACTGTCGCGTTGGCGAAGTATTTCACTGCAACAACAACTCAGTGATTGTTGATGGCTTTACAAATCCTTCCAATAATTCGGATCGCTGTTGTCTGGGCCAATTGAGTAATGTCAACCGTAACAGTACAATTGAAAATACACGGCGCCACATAGGTAACATTGCAAATTAAACAAATAATGTATGACCTTTTTATTTATATACATATGTATTTTGAACTATAGGAAAAGGCGTTCATCTCTACTATGTTACGGGAGAAGTTTATGCTGAGTGTCTCTCCGATTCGGCCATTTTTGTGCAATCGCGTAATTGTAATTATCATCACGGCTTCCATCCTAGCACAGTGTGTAAAATACCACCCGGCTGTTCTTTGAAAATATTCAACAATCAAGAATTTGCTCAACTGCTATCTCAATCCGTCAACAACGGCTTTGAGGCTGTCTATGAGTTGACGAAAATGTGTACAATACGTATGAGTTTTGTGAAAGGTTGGGGCGCTGAATATCATCGACAAGACGTGACGTCTACGCCATGCTGGATCGAAATACATTTGCATGGACCACTACAGTGGCTGGACAAGGTTCTAACACAAATGGGATCGCCCCACAACGCTATAAGTTCGGTGTCATAAAATGCCGCTCGCAACAGATTTCGTTTCATATTTCTAAGTTAATAGGGTTAGTGTAAGTTTTAAGAAAAACAACAGAATGAAAAATTAAGTTCAAATTGAAACACACCAACCGCTTAATGATAAGAAGAGTAACAGAAAAGACCATCAACTTAATAATTTGAGGATTTTGAGATTTTTCTTTCCAATTGTATCTTCTGCAGACGGACGCCCAATTATAGATTTTGACTAAATTGAATACTGAGACCAGCCTTATTGTGATTTTCTGTTTAATTTCATTTTATAATGTGTGTTAAACGTACTGCAAATATTTTACTTTGGAGAAGCATGTGCTTCGATACAGTACACTACGCTGCTAAATACACAATATCCCAAATTTCCCAATGATGACTACTGCTATGTCTATGTTTGCAAAACATTTTCTGCCTATGATATATATATATATATAGATTTATTTTTATTATACGACTCTCATGTGCCTTTTTTTGTAGAATTTTAGTTAGATATGTTTGCTTTTTTCTCTTTTTTATTGCAATAGGGTTACGTTGGTATATGTTGGCAATTGCAAATACATTTACAATTCCTTATTTGATTGTAGTTTCTGCAGTACGATAAAATACATTTTATTCGTGTCGAGATTATGGCGGTTTGACCAATTGTATCAACGTACCCATATTATCTAATACATTGATTATTGACCGTGCAAAAATTATAATGATCTTCCTTTAGTTTTAAACTTTTAATTGGTCTGATTTTACGTTTTAAAACAATATACAACTATTATTAAATATAAACTAGCAACTTATTTTTGTTTTAGTTCGGTTTGTTTTTGTTTACAATTGCTGACGATAAGCTATAAAAGGTGCAAATGGAATGTAAACCTTTATACATATGTAAATGTATATTAAAAATGCCTATTCAATACGATTTATATCGCATCAATCCAACCTTCATTGGGATGATGGGTGAAGTTATTAATGGAAACATCTAGACTTACTGCGAATCTGATCTGTAATGCAATTCTGCGTAATATTTGCTATACACACACTACAAAAAGCTATGAACAAATATTACTACTAGTTGGTGCATAAACCAATTCAAATTTATTAATTCGAAATTGCGATACATACATATATGCTATACTGAAACAACATTATAGAAACTATTGCCTTAATCAAAATTTATTGTACATGATATACAACAATAGAACCATACATTTTTTAATTGCGCTATAAACATACAAGTGTCTTATGCTTTACCTACCGACCAATATATGCTTTTTATGCTACTTTACAATAAACAAATCTAACTATAAATAATTGAGCATTTTTATTAATTGACCTGTAGCAACCATTGCATACGGTATAACTTTGAGAAAATATAACAACCCCCAACTTTGTAGGTGTCAATATTGATCTTATTGTATATGTACGAAGAATAATTTTCCAAAAAATAAATCGTAAAAGGGAATCAAAATCAAATTTTTGGACTAACATTGAAAATTCAAGAGGAATTATCTGGAATGGCCAATTTGAAAATCTATTTGCTTTCGGATCAAATTTGGTGCAAAATGTCCAAAACGGTAACACTATTCCATACTGCCTCAAATTCAAGATCTATTTATAAGGTCACCTAGCAAGCGAATGCCACCTGTTTTTCTCAATTCTGGTGTCAAAAATTTGGAGGTTTGTTACCAAAGTCTATTAATAAATTTATCCAGAGAGACCAGTTGGATATCAGCTTCTCAAGTTTTCTGCCAACATTTCTTATTGTGAATTGACTTCACATAATGCAAACGTAAACAAAGTCCAAATTTTTGACATTAGACTTGAGAAAAAACAGCTGACTTTCGCTAACTCGATGTTTGTTACGTTTTCATAACGAAAGTCAATTCACAATAATGTATGTTGATAACAAACTGGCAGCTAAAATCCGGCTGGTCTCCCCGTACATCCTTGTAAGCCAAGATCTATTAATAAGGTCACCCAGTTAGTGAAAGTCTGGATGACCTTATTAATAGGTTTTGAATAATATACAAGTCCAAGGCCTATTAAGTGGCCCGCAGATGATCATGCTTTTGATTTCGGGCTGTACAGACAATGTAGATAACGGACGATACGGTTTTGGCGATTTTGGCCGTATGTTAAAAAAAAAAAAAATGCCGAAAAGGGCTGACAATGACCGGCATACTTCCAACAATTCAAGAACATTTTTTCTCAGTATCCGACATCTCTATACACCCATTTGTTTTGAAAAAACGTCACATATGAGAATATGCATGATTCCCCACCACACACACGTCAAAATCGAACGTCATGCATCAGAAAAATCAAACATTTTTGATTTTGCTTCATATAACGTAGCTGTGACACATACATACAAATTTTCACAAACACCACAAAATGCATGTCATGCATGTATGATCGTCTGCGGGGCTCTTTAATAAGGTTATCCCGGGAGACCAGTTGCAGATCTATCAACAAGATCTATTAATAAGGCCACCAAGATAGCAATCGAAATCGGAAAACAGCTGTTTTTTCTCAAGTCTAATGTCAAAAATTTCGACTTTGTTTACGTTTTCATAATGGAAGTCAATTCACAATAATGCAGCTGGTCTCCCTTGGTGACCTTATTTATAGGCCATGATCTATTAATAAGGTCACCAAGATAACAATCGAAATCGGAAAACAGCTGTTTTTTCTCAAGTCAAAATTTTCTAATGTCAAAATTTTCGACTTTGTTTACGTTTTCATAATGGAAGTCAATTCACAATAATGTATTTTGACAGCAAACTTGAGAGGTATCGATTATCAGCTGGTCTCCCCGGGTGACCTTATTTATAGGCCACCAAGGGTTAAAGGGTTTTGTTCTGATACATCATCTTAATATTGCATCATGGTTACTTTTCCAGTAACATTTACTCAGTAAGGTCTATTCTCATTTGCAATAATAATGAGAAAAGTAAACATCCAACATCCACTAATATTTTGCACAATATTACGTAATTTTACTTAAATTGCTTGAAATACACTTGATTAAATTATTAAAGCGGATCAGTGTAGCCGGACGGGGTGAACCATATCATACCCTACACAAGTTCCACTGAACTCATACTTTCTGTGGATCTATATTTCGCGATGTTTGGTCGATTAAAGGTTAACAGCTCCTCTAGAAGAAATATACCCATTTCTCATTTCATTTCCTTTTACTGGATTTTGGAGCAAGCAGGCAGCATCCAGTAACATTTGGTAAAACTTATGTCATTAGAAATAAAATACCAATACAAAATTAAGTAATGTACAATAAAGAAAACATTAATCGCACATTTCATTGTCCTGGACAAGGCCTATATAAGGTCGGCCAGTAAGCACAGGTGAGTATAAAGTTTTTTGTCAAATCATATTTTGAAACCTATACATACATACAAAATTATGTTAGACGTCAAAACGAAAATATTAATATTTTGTCAATATTCAATTCAATTTTAATTTATATCGTCATTTTACAGAACATTTGGAGTATTTCAAGAGTTTAAAGAAGATTTTCAAGTAAATTATCCTAGAAGTTATAGATTGTGTTGTGTTTTGGCTGTGATTTTCAAAAAAAATTTTGATTCAAAAAAAAAAATTGGCGTTTAACTTAAGTTTTTTCTATGAATTCGCTTACTGGCCGACCTTATATAGGCCCAAGGCCTATATAAGGTCTGCCAGTAAGCACCGGTAGGTTTAAAGTTTTTGTCAGATCATATTTTGAAACCTATACATACAAAATTATGTTAGACGTCAAAACGAAAATATTAATATTTTGTCAATATTCAATTCAATTTTAATTTATATCGTCTTTTTACAGATATAGAAACACGGCAGAAACTGAAATAAATGAACAACATGGACTACCCACCCTGATCTAGTTCCGAACGTTCCTTTTTGTGAACATTTCATAAATTTTGAAACAAAATGTTTGAACAGTTCATATGAACTAGTTCGTTGCGGAACGACACAACTCTGTTGTGAATTCATTGGTACAAGAGGTGGTTTTGGTTTTGTTTGTGAACTCTCAGCAAAATGTCCTCAGCCGTAATTGACCCGTTGGAATTGCTTACCAACAAAGGGGACCGCAAACCAACGTTCCTTAGCACAATTTTCAACCCATTGGCCTGTACAGTGGCTGGATTTGGTTTGGCATGTATGCTAAATTGGGGCCTACGTAGACCAATATTTTCCGGTAAGTTTCTAAGTGACGTAACATTCATTAATGAAAAATTTGCTAAAAAAAATATGGTCGCTTTATATTCAACGTGATTGTTTTTTTTATTAGGTTTGCAGAATCATGTTGGTTTTGCTGTTCTTGGAGGAATCGGTGGTACATATCTTGATAAGAAGCGCACCGAAGACTTAGCTACCCGCGATGCTGTCTTAAGACACTACGTCGAACTGCATCCTGAGGATTTCCCACCCGTCCGTAAGTATAAATACATCCGATTACATAGTCTGGATATGGATTAATGTAATTTTTACTTTCAGAGAGGAAAAAGTTCGGCGAAGTTTTAGAACCTTGGGTGCCAATTCGTTAGACGGTTTGATAAATGTTCACTTGTAACCAAAATAAAATTGTGTTTGGTTTTTGACGTTTGGTTACAAATTGTCGCTTAACCTGCTACATAATAATGTTACTCCATATGGAATATTGGAAATATAGAAAATAAAGAAAAACCCCTATTAGAATTATTTAAATATGAAAATTCTGTTTGTTTATCTTACTTGTTAGCTGTTAAAGGCTAACACATTTGTAATATGTATTAGTGGTGTATTTATTGAAAATAGTATTTATTATGGATGAATGAGACTACTCACCAAAGATCGAAAATCAAGCAAGGTGAGCTACGGGATCGAAGTTCAAACGAAAAGGAAAGCCTGAGAGATACATTCCACCATTATGCGATGCCTTTCACTGTTGGTTTACAATGGTCGTTTATTGATATGTTGTATTTATATTGATTTTTTGCGAAATTGCATCCATGGTATACAACCTTCGAAGTTAAGAAGATGCCATTGTCCGGCGCAACAACGTTCAAAGTCATCTCCTCAACAATAACAGTTGTGTATCGCATAACAACCGTTTTTTATTTTACAAAAACTTGTCAGTGATGTGACATTAATTTTGTCTTGATGCCATCTAATTTCTTTTCCAAAATCTTTTCGATTTGCGTACATTATTTAAGAATATATATTTGGAAACCTACTATGTATAATATTTAACAATCATATTTGTTATTAATCTACGCGGGCCCCAGGGCTACATCGCTGGCGTATGCGTACGATTTTATTCATCTCAAAAGTTTTTTATTTAATATACATATGTATATATTTCAAGAAAAAAAAAATACACTTAATATAATAGGCCCAACGCATCTTGGGCATTTCAGGGGCAACTGATAAAAATTTCAAACCATACTTTCAAAAACAAAGAATAAAAGTGAATAGAAATTAACGTAGAAACAATTTATGACATTAGAAGCATTTCGAATATCTTTAAGTACAGGCATTTCAATGAATGTTACCCAAATACGCATTGCGTATAAAAATTTAAAGTTGAAAATTTTCAACATTGACAATGCGTATTTTGGGTTTTTTTTTTTGAAAATAGAATTCTAGTCATTGAAAAATTTGTTTATTAAGAAAATGTTTTCATATATTTCGTCGTTTTCAATTGACGCACAAGTAAATAAGGTCCTTGCGTATTTGGGTAATACGGACGTTCAACAAACCCTATTAAGGTGAGAAGGTGGGTATTTTAGTACGCAACCCACTGAATTTAAGTAAGTGCCTAAAGGAGAAGATTACACTGTGCGACAAATTTCAGTTTTTGTGATAATTACCGGAAATTCCAACAGATTATGAAAGAGAGCACGGGTGGTAACCTAAAAATTGGAGTAGTTCAAATTCAATTCAATTTTTTTATATACGTATGTATGTATGTTTAATTTGTTTATATTTGTGATACAATTTATGTATTTGGATAAAAATACACCTCATTTTTATATATAATAATTTTCTATTCCATTCCTACTGGAGTAGTCATAATATATAATAATAATCAAAAACTTTTTTTTGAAATTTAATCGGTATGATATTCTTTAGTAGTTCAATATCCCTCCCTTTTACATTTAAGCCGCTTAATATGATATAATTTATATTTAATTGTGAAATGTAGCTTACAGCCTTAAGGTCGAAAGACTGGGCAACATGAAATATATAAATAAATAAAAAATAAAATAAAATAGAATTAAATTTTGACAAAATGTTAATATTTTATATATATGCCATGCATATAGACACTGTTTTACTACATTGAGGACAATCATCTGTTGAACTTGATAATTATATCCTGCGTCAAAAGTCACATTTACACCGAAAGTATTTTAAGATAAACCGTCATTCAATCATCGTTTAAATTGCCATTGTCTTTATATAGCATTTCCAGATTAAATGAAACCTTTTACAAATTAAATGAAACCTTTTCCAAATTAAATGAAACCTTTTCCAAATTAAATGAAACCTTTTCCAAATTTAATGAAACCTTTTCCAATTGATTTAATTCGGTGTGATTTCATTTAATATCTTTACTACATAAAACTAAATAAATAGTAATACAAACTGGGGTATTTCTTGACATTTTATTAAATAACCTGTGAGCGGAGCAGTATAGTCGGACGGGGCCGACCATATGATACCCTACACAACTTCTATGAAAATCTAATTTTGCGTTAACAGGTCAACAAATATTACTAATATTCAGTAGACGAGGGCTGTACTTGTCCAGATTCTCTTTGCCGTAGGTTATGTGAGGTTGGGCTTTCAATTGCGGCCTATAGATCGTCTCAAAAAAAAAAAAAAAAAAAAAACACAAAAAGTTAAGTTTTCGGTCCACTTCATCCCAAAATTATTATCTGATCATCGCCGAAAATGATAGGCGTTGTCCTTGACCATAATTGGAATCTCATGGAAAATTTTAAAGCCATCAGCGCTATATTTCCGCCGTCTAGTGTGGTAATGGGTTACTAAATAATGTCAGAATACGTAAGCACCTGTAAATATTTAAGTGTAACTTCCACATCTGAGGTCATGCCACCATATAATTGGTACCAATTTAAAGGTCAACCACTCCTCTTGAACATGCTATCAACTTCTCTGGTCTAGGTCCTTCAGGGGCAAATATATACGCCATAGAATACAAATTTTGCAATTTTTCACACAAAAGTCAGGGTCCATTTGACCCGCTAAATATTGACCGATCTTTATCAAAACCGGCATGCTTATTCTTTGACCCAATCCCTTTCTCCATACAAAAAATCGCGGTGTTTGGGCTGTAATTGCGGGCTCTGGAGCGACCAGAAAAATCGACAAAAATAAAGTTTTTGGTCCATTTCATCCCCTAAATATTAACCGATTTTTTCCAAAAACAATAGGGGTCTTCATTGGCCAGAACCCATTCTACATGCAAAATTTCGTGAAGATTGGTCCATAACTGTGGCCTGTATCGTGTTTACAAATTATAATGGACAGACGGACGGACGGACACACATGTCTAGATCGACTCAGCTAGTCGAGATATGACGATCGGTATAATTAAAGGTGGGTCTAGGACCAATATTTCGCGGCGTTACAAACTTTTGGGGCTGCACAAAGCTATAATACCCTGACAACATAGTTGTGTAGGGTATAAATATTTAAGAACAAGAATTGAATACCCGGTCCTAAATGCGAAATACATATTTGACTTAATAAATTGTTGATGATAGGGTAACTGCTTATCTTAATGAAGGGGTTCCCGACTTGCAGCTTGTGGGATTTTCAAAACCATGTCCATAACGTAGTTAGAACAATTTTGCCGAGTAAGCTACTTCGCTCGATTACATCAACAATGTTATGTTCCATTGAAACGTCACACAGCTCAGCTCTTGCACATAATTATATCCTACACAACTATGTTGTCAGGGTATTATAGCTTTGTGCAGCCTCAAAAGTTTGTAACGCCGCGAAATATTGGTCCTAGACCCACCTTTAAGTATACCGATCGTCATATCTCGACTAGCTGAGTCGATCTAGATATGTGTGTCCGTCCGTCTGTCCATTATAATTTGTAAACACGATACAGGCCACAGTTATGGACCAATCTTCACGAAATTTTGCATGTAGGATGGGTTCTGGCTAATGAAACCCCCTATTGTTTTTGGGAAAGATCGGTTAATATTTAGGGGATGAAATGGGCCAAATACTAATTTTTTGTCGGTTTTCTGGTCGCTACAGAGGCCGCAATAATGGCCCGAACATCGTGAAATTTTACATGGAGAAGGGGATCGGGCCAAAGAATAAACATGCCTGTTTTCATAAAGATCGGTCAACATTTAGCGGGTCAAATGGACCCTGACTTTTGTGTGAAAAATGACAAAATGTGTATTCTATAGCGTATATATTTACCCCTGAAGGACATAGACCCGAGAAGTTTATATTATATCAAAGAGGAGTGGTTGCCCTTTAAATTAATACCAATTATATTGTTGTACGTGCTCGGATGTGGGAGTTACATCTAAATATTTACAGGTATCTCTGTATTCGTATATTATGTAGTAACCCATTATCACTCTAGAGAGCGGAACTATAGCGCTGATCGCTTTGAAATGTTCCATGAGGTTCCAGTTATGGTCAAGGACAACGCCTATAATTTTCGGCGATGATCAGATAATAATTTTGGAATGAGGTGGACCGAAAACTTAATTTTTTGTGTTATTTTCGAGTCGATCTATAGACCACAAATGAAAGCCGAACATCACAACACAACCCACGGTGAAGGGAATCTGAACAATAGCTGTACTGAATACTCGTAATATTCGGAAAATACGTCAGTGTGAGGAAGAGGTGCTGTTTACATCTAATCGGGCAAGAGGGTGCAAATATCACGAAATATTGCCCAGGCTCGGAATAAACATCCGCAGAAAATTTGAGTTCCGTGGTAGTTGTGTAGGGTATCGCATGGTCGGCCCCGTCCGACTATACTGCTCCGCTCACTGGTTTTATTTTTGAAAATGCATTTTCAATTGGATTTAGCATTGGAGAATAAAGCGATAAGAATTTAAGGTTGCATCTTTTGGATTCGATCAAATTTTTTATGTCATGTCGCTTGTGTATTTGTGTAAAATTCTATAAATAATTTAAATCTGTCTGCATTGTCACTGGAATTAGAAACGGTTGTGTGATGTACAATTCCCGCGTTGTTTATTGCTGCAATTATAGTGGCATTACGACCTCTGACCGTAGGCAACACAATGCGTGCTCTTGTTCCTTGTCTTGAACGTGCTTGGGTTCTTTCTATGTGAAGATTAAATCCCCCCTTCATTAAGATAAGCAGTTACCCTATCATCAACAATTTATTAACTCAAATATGTATTTCGCATTTAGGACCGGGTATTCAATTCTTGTTCTTAAATATTTATTTAATAAAATGTCAAGAAATACCCCAGTTTGTATTACGATTTATTTAGTTTTATGTAGTAAAGATATTAAATGAAATCACACCGAATTAAAGAATATTTATGTTAATTACATAGACATACAACTATATTTGTTAATATTCTTTGATTTAATTTTCAAATATTGGTTTAAAATTACTGCAAATATTATATTTCCTTAGATAAGAATAAAGGTTTCATTTAATTTGGAAAAAGTTTCATGCTATTTGTAAAAGGTTTCATTTCAATTGGAAAAGGTTTCATTCTATTTGTAAAAGGTTTCATTTCAATTGGAAAAGGTTTCATTTAATTTGGAAAAGGTTTCATTTAATTTGGAAAAGGTTTCATTTAATTTGGAAAAGGTGTCATTTAATTTGGAAAGGGGTTCATTTAATTTGTAAAAGGTTTCATTTAATCTGGAAATGCTATATATCTGTCAAATAAGTGACGATTTATGTAAAACATGTTCGGGGTTAATCACGTCTTTTCTCTATATTTAGTTCTAAGGTCACGGGCTACTTGAAAGTTGCATAGGCCTGAAAAGGCCAATATTAATTGCGACTAATTGTTAAACCATTCTATGAGTCGTAAATCTAGTGTTAATATGGTCCCTACTGTACAATTAATTCATTGGCCCAATTGAAAACCACACCAGCCACTGTGCCAATTCCTTCATAATTGAATATTATTTGGAATTAGTAATTCATCCCCGCCTGTGTTTGAAAATGGTAAACGCGCATGCCCCAACAATTGTACCGTTATTCTCTCCTATGTGCACTTGTTGTTGTCAACGACAGACATCTTTGTTATTATTTTCCGTCGCGTACGGGCCATAACTGGCATTTCTCATTCTCAGTTGAAGTTGAGACGCGAACGGTAAACGTTGCATCGCTGATTGTTTTTACGTTTTGAAACTGCTGTGGGATGTTCAAAAGTGGAACAAAGATTGTGTATTGTGCAGAGGAATTTTATAGAAAGAGGAGAACATCATCCCTTCCAAAACAGCTTGAAAATAAATTGTACTAGAAAATACAAATAAAATCACGACAAAACGTGTCGCAAAGCAAAATAATTATTCAGTGCAAAAATAAATATTAGCGAAAAATAAAATTAATTTGTGAATAAGAAACAAACGGACATTTATTCTAAAATTCATCTAACCAAAACAACAACATCAGAAAAATCAATAAAAATTTCTTCAGCAATTCCCTTTTGGCGTTGAGGCCTATGTTGGGGTTTCGTTTATTTTCTCTGGCCGTTCCCCAGCATACAGTGGAGCTGGGCTCTACAGCCAAATTCAACCAATAACAATGTAAAGAGAATCTACGGTTCACTCCGTGTGTGTATGTTTTGTCCAATGTGTTCTGTGTTAGAGAAAAGAAAATTTCTTAAAAAGAAAACGATTGAAAAGTTATGAATGTTCGTTATTTGTCGTTACTCGTCAATATACCACAAACCGTTAGTTTTTAATAAAGGTGAAATAAAACAAAAAGTGGACAAAACCCGAAAATTCGTTTTCATCTGATTAATTAGAATGGTGTTTGCACTACAATTCCCCAAAATTCATTACTGGTCGTATGAAAGCCCTAAATATCGGAAACTGTCGCAATCCTACGAAAACGGGCAAAGATACTGAAATATTCAATTGAGAAACATTTATCCCTATGGCATACACATCCCTATTCGCCGGCACACTAAGAACAGCTGGATTTTTTGTCGAACCACTCGTGCAATGATTTTACTTATGGATTGAGGCGTAAAGAAGAACAGCAAATACCGAAAGATGGCAAAGGTAAGTCGTCCTCCTACAGCTCGGCACAGTACAATCACACAACCCGTCAGTGTGACCCAATGCGGTTTTAGTTCGTAAATGTATTACATCACACTGTCAAAAAAATATTTTCGCTATTAAGGCCAATGCATGTGTAATGAGCCGCAGAAATGTTAATAGTATGTATGCATGTAACTACTTTTTTGCCATCCATAGAAAATGCAGTACTGGTTATTTCGCAAAGAAGTAGATATAAATACTGACTATGTAATTATTAAGGACACATTAACAAAATTACATACAGATTTCTAACGTGACTTCAATCCTCGTGTAGTTAAGAACGACGCTTTCAAAATTGAACAATAAGCAATCTCCAAGACAAAATTCTTAGATTACAATAATCATTCAAAGCAAATTGTTGTCCTTACGCAAACATTTAGTAACCTTTTTCCAATCTATATAATGGAAGCTATAAAAGATCCCTCGATATGACGATGCGCTTCCTGTAAAGAATCATTTCGCTGATTCGTTTTCAATGACACTGCAAAAGCCCTGTGTGTACACATTCATGCAGCAAAATATTCAAGGTTAATCCGAGAAAATGACTGTGGGCTGATTCCTTTCTTATGATTGGGACATATTGTTGGCTGCGGGCATTAGGGTTATGGCTTTTTTTACAACCTTCTATTTCTGATTCATATTTTAATGCGTTTTCAGATAAGATTTGATAAAATCGTAATTATGAAAATCATACAAGGTTCCATAAAAGTGCTATGTGTGAGGGATTGAGGTCGACCATGGCATAGCCTCTTACCATGGTAAGAACTTGGCAACTAAGCCTGAAAAACTTGTTGAGGCGCCCAGGTATCAACAAGGCTCCGTTCTAATACAGTCGGGACCCTGACTGCAAACCGTAGAACGCTGATAGGCACGGGGTCGCATGACACCCCCAGATGAATAATGAACGCTCTTCAGCAACGAATGCTAGTTAAAGATCGAACGATGACAGCGAAGTTTTATCGTTCGTGAATTTTTCGTACAATGCGAATATTCGTGAGAGATTGTAAATGCTTGTTCATTCACTGTAACTTTATCAATCGCGATAAATTTAAACAATCTCACCTTGAGTATTCGTGAGAAATATCATATTTTTGAAAACGGTTAACGTCTTCAATGATTTCACCAATGATTATCGAAGTAATTTCAAAGTTGTTTCTTGAATATTTTGATATCTCTTCCTAAATATTTCCGTTTAATTAGATATGCCAAGTTTTATAAATCAATTTGGTGGTTTGTTATACTTACCGAATACCACATCCAATACTAATATACATAAGTTAGTTAGATACTACTAATATACATACATACATTTCAATAAATTATCGACAATTCTTATTCCAGGAACCAACACAATCACGATTACCAATGCCAGGCGTATCCCGCATTCCGTTACCTGGTTTAATTCGACCACCATCCGTTATGCCTTTGATACGACCTTCGCAACTGAGAGCACCATCAGCGTTCACTAAAACTCGGCCTATGTCCTTTGGCGGCCTGAGACCGCCTGCAACACCATCTTTGGCTCTTAAGAAATCTTCATCTGGTGATCGAATAAATACAATTAATTCAACAATGAATTTGGTTGGAAAGAAAACAACAACAGTCCTAAAAAAATTCTTTACAAAACCGACAGATGCTGTGCAAACGCCTCTCCGAAAGGATAACAAGGCAGTGCCGCCCAAACATGTCCAAAATGAAACTATGACCATAGAAAATACTCCCAAGCCTCTTACAAGGTCGGAAACATTTGTACGCACAAATAGCCCAGAAGCAACACCGATGCCGGTCATCGGTGGAGATTGCCGAATGGCTATATGCGAGAGTACACCTCTTATCGGGCAAAGCAATAAGCAGGGATTGCATGTAACCCAAACATTCGACTGTACTTTTAATGCCCCTCTTCCATCTGGCCAAGTTCAAAGGAAGCATAATTTCGAAAGTACCCGACTATCCACAATGGGCTTTGGCCATACCATGGATATTGACTCTCCAAGAAGCAGCACTCGAATGTCCAATATCGGTTTCGGGCAAACCATAAATTTGGAATCGACAAGAAATCCGGCTGATAATAACAAAGACAAAGTAGACGATGCTACACAGGTGTTGTCGAAGCCTAAGCGAACACTAAACAAGACACATAGTATCGAAGAACTAAATCATATGTCGACAGATGCCACCCATACTATCGATGATGGAAAAGATGCTATCATGACTTCACCGAAAAATGACTCTAACTCCCGAAATAAAACTATAACCTTAGAAGACCATGAAGAGATTGAAGATCTTGCGAATAGAACTATTGATGGCGGCGTCAAGAGTGTGGACGATAATGGATCCCGAACACCGGCCTCAAATGCCACTTACTCAAACCCGGGTTCAACGGAGAATCTCTTGCTCCTCGATGACGTCTCCATTCCGTCTGGTTTTGAAGAAGCTGTCGAAATGGATGCCAAAGCTAATTTGATGGCTAAATTTAATAATACTGACCTTTTGGATTTGACCAGTGATAATTTAGATGATACTTTAAAGGCGCTGGCGCCCAGCAAAGCCGCGATGAAACTGCCCCTGAATTCAACAATGAATACCGAACGTTTATTGGATCTGACACACAATATGACTACGCCCGCAAAACACATGCAACTGCTCAACTTGACTAAGGACTACATGGACACCCCAAATATGCTGAACAACAAGAATACAACTCAATTACTTTATATGACCCAAGTGTCAACATCTTGCATCACAACCCCCGACCGAAATAGCAAAAAGGTTATAAATCCACTCTACCAACTGACGCCAATTCCTCACCATCTACTGTCGCCACTGAAGCTAAAACAGGCCCAGAGCGATTTAGTTCTCCCCACGCGAACGCCAGATGAAGGAAGTCCCGAAGAACCTATGGATGTGGACAGTACAATGATAGCAGTAGCAGGCAAGACCGAAGAGTTCTTCCAGCAGGCTCAAAACCAGCAGTCGGCAACGTCTTTGCAGGACGTTAACAATCCTAATAGTAACCAAAAAGGTCGCTTCTCATTTGGTCTGGATCTGACGGAATCCACGCTGGATTGCTCCATAGAATTGGTGGACGTTTCACTTTCGTCTACCGCCATATCCCATCCAAGTAACAATACCGTCAATAATCTGAGCACATCGGTTTCTTCGCAACAATTACTAAAGAAACAGAACTCGTTTGACATGGACGAAAGTCTGGGCATACTCACGCCCGATCAAATGAAGGAGTTCCTTGATTCGACTGCCACCAACAACACTAACAATAATTTGGATATTCCTTTAATGTTCAACGTCTCGAATAGTTTCAATCACAAATTGGCAATGCATCAGATGCGCATCGATCAAACACCGTCGCCCGAGGAATTGCCACTGGACCCAGTTGAGGTAAAGACTGATATTAATGAAATGGTGTTGCAACATCAACAACATCAATACCAGCTGCAACAACACCAGCAGCAGCTGCAGCAACTTTCGGTTGAAGAGTCAAATCCCTTGCAGAATCAGTGCATGGAATCACTGTCTTTGCTCTCGGAAACAGAGCCGTCAAAAAGTGAATCAATTACGAAATCCACTGTTTCCAAAATTTCGACTAGCTTCATTACAAGTGTCACCAGCGTTACAAGTCTGGATACGGGCTACCAGGGCGATGGCGAAATGTCCAGACCCGCGTCAAGGGGCGCATGCGATCATTCACCATCCAATGGTCCTTTGCGGAAGGGTGTTTCTCGCCAGCCCAGCTTCAACCAACAACAAGGACAGGGACAAGCGCCGGTGCGACGACAAGATCCGATGACGGATTCTGACTTCTTCACCGAATCTGATGCCGATGACATTTTCCATAGGGGTGATCGCCGTGCGCAGGTAATCGATGGCCAACTTTATGGACCCATGTTGCAGCCATCGGCCTCTGTCTTTATTTCGGAGGATCCTCAAATGGAGGACTCATGCATGGAATCTTCGGGGATTTTTACCGATGTCGAAAATCGTGGTGACGAGGACCTAGCTCAAATACGACGCCAAAACACGCACGACGAAACACAAGATCTTTCTCCTGATCTGGAATGCGACGCCGATTCAACAGAGACGGTAAGAAGCAACCGTGAATCGTCCAAGAAGTTGCAGCAACAACACGGCGGCAGCGAGAAAATTACAACCAGCACATCAACCACCTCAGTGCATTCTCATGGTCAAGGTCATTTGAGTAGCAGTCAAACATCATCCACCATCCAAAGCAGTATGAGTACTGATCGTCTCTCGGCGGCAACGCTCTCTAATCGCACATCGTACTGCAGTGTGGATGGTGGCGGTGGTGGCATAGTTGGAGCCAACGGTGTTGTGGAATTCAAAAGTTTCTCCTCTCTCGACGAAGCTTTTGACGGCGACGAGAACAAGCAGAACCACATGCCGGCTAAACTCATGAAAAGCTCCACCACATCCACAACTTCGTGGTGTGAGCAACCACCGAGCCACAAGCATTTGACGGCAGTTCAGAACATAACTTCACCGCGTAAACAACATACGTCGTTAACGTCGCTCTGCAGTGCGGATCACACAACAACATCACCGGCATTCGTACATTGCCAATCAAGTGCTCAGTCCATAACAGATTCGGATCGCTCGTTTTCATGTGCAACCACGACGCACTCGAATGCGTCCAACCTCTCCGCCAAATCCGCACCTAATGCTGGCAAAAAACAAACAAAAACCGCAAATCAATGTTCGCCGGGAAAATATACGCCGCGTTCGAAAACAACAATAACAACAACCGCAACACCAAAAAGTGCCAAATCGTTCAAGCAATCGCCCAATAGTGGCGGCAGTGGGGGCGCCAAACATAACTCGCCTCTCGCCGTGCGTAAATACCATCACTCGCCCAACAAATGGGATGCCGTTATGAATCAAATTGCCAACAATAAAGCTCACATTAGGAAGAATTACAGTGATGTGAAATCAAAAGTGTCTACCCGAATATCGGTGGGTGTCGGGGGTGGTGCGGGCGGTGACGGTAGTCGCGGCCCAAATGCCGTAAACGGTTCCGGATCGTCGACGAGTATTTCGCCAACTGTACGTCGATCGCCAACCAATAATTTGAATCGTAATATTAATTCTAGCATTAGCAAAATATCAAAATCGCAATCGCCGGAGATACGAGGAGGGGCAAACACTAGCTCATCATCGCCATCACCAAAAGCATTGGATAACAAGCGTCTGATACAAAATGTCAATCGGTAAGTTGTTCTTACAAATCGTTTGTAATAATTTACATACATATGTGTGCACATATGAATGAGGTACGACATCAACTGTACTATTTGGGTTACTTTCTTTTGGCAAACCAAATGTATGCTGATTGAATGAAATATGTTGTTTTACATTGTCATTTTCCACACGGATCATTTTCGGCCTAAAACTCACAGAAACACCGAAATTCAGGTAGTAGAGGGGGTATGAATTTAACTTCTTTGTTTTGTTTTGTTTGTTTTTTTTTTTCATTTATGTACGCCTTTTTAATTTCAAAACCCAGACGTTCCTCGACAATGAACTCTTTTATTCGAATATTTCGCTTATCGCAAACATTCCATTAGCCCAGTTATCAGTCGGATCGTTGTCATATGCATGTCTAATCTGCTTATTATTTTATTTTCACCGGCAAATTGACATTTGTTGAATTTAGAAACAAAACAAAAACGATAAACGGCATGAGAAACGCGGTGAGGTGAAATGTTGTTAAAATTCTACTTAAATTGTTCTATAATAAATAAAAATGTGATAACAATTTGTTTAACTTTTTTTAATTTCTACATACGAAAATAAAGAAATAGCAAAAGCAGAGTCACATGGCGCACAATTATCGACATTTCTTAATTCCACGAGCCGTATTAGTGCTTTGGAACACAGAGGAACGGAAATATTTAAATGATTTAAAAAGCATAGCATCGGGATATACTTACGAGATTTTCAAGCAGAACACTGTCACTTTTTATGATGTCTAAATCCATGACCTTCTGCGTGCGATCGTGCTAAGTACATAATGTAACATTTATTCATAAATCCACCTGTGACGGAGAATTTTATTTTTGTACTCCCAACGATACTTAAAATTCCTTCAATTATAAATTTACAATTCAAATGTGACTTTTAACTTTTAAATCGCATAGAGTCATACTGAAAACGTGTTTGGGTGTTTTTCTCACACTCACCTGGCATTGTGTGTCTGTCTGTGAGTAAAACAGTTATGGTAATAACAAAACCGCTGTGCCAAGTACTTATCTATAAGTTGCAATGACGTTTTTAATTCGATAGATAACACTGTGTAACAATATTTTGTTTTAAATTAAATTAGCACTTGCGTTATGAAAAAATAGCATACAGTTGTTAATATATTACTGTGCACATAGAAGAGGGCGTGACCAACGAGCTAATCCAGACTTTCGAGGATTTGTCCTCCTATACTGCAAGTCTTTTGAACGTGTCTAACAAAAGACTCCTTTGGCTCGAATAGAGGATCATTCGCAATTCGAAATATAAACACAGAATTGCAAAAACTTGTTTAATAAATATAATGTTACCATACTTTGTACGTTTTTCCCAAACAGAATTTAGCCATTTCAATATGGGAATGCTATCAAAAATTAATTGACTATTTTTTTTTTAATGGCCAACAAAGGCAAATTTCAACATACTTTCAGATTTGGAGCTTCTATTTTCACTTTCTGTAATGTATCCATTTCATAAAGATGTAATGCCGGAAAGTATTGGAAATAAATTTTAATATATTCTTCCCCCTAAAAGTCGTTATTAGCGCACCCAATTATAAAAAAAAACATACTATGGTCGGATGGGACCAAAATTGTTTTATATGGAAGTATTGGGTCCTACCAATATGCAAAACATCGATCGATTTTTGCAGAAAAACTAAGGGTCAAAAATTACATAAAAATATTCCATACGAAATATATAGTAAATTAAGAAAATTAATATGAATTAGAGCTTGGAATTTATATAATTTTTTAACTTAAATGGAAAGGACTTTACAGAAGTGAGAAAGTATTTAGAAGTTCCTATATATGAACTATTGTGTACAATGGATGTTGAAGAATTGATCGATAGTTTTGAGCTACGGTTCTGATGGTTCAACCGGCCACAGTATAGTTAAACAAATATTTTTAAAAAAATATTTCAGATATTTCAGTCATTCCAAGAAATGGGAATCCGAAATATAAAATTACAGCCAACTTGGTTAAAAAATGTGTCCAAACGCCCCTTAATAGCGAAATTCCGTACCGTTATATGGGGACTACTTTAAAAAGTTGACCAATATTGAAAGTTTCTGGTTGCAAGATTTGCTACCCAATATAACCTAACCTAAAATACATAAAGACAGCCAATTTGTTTAAAGAAAATGCGCAAAATCCCAAAAATTTCGAATAATGGGATATACCGTTATATGAGGGCTACCCGAAAAACTTGTCCAATATTGATCATTTTAGGTAGGGAGATTTTCTATACAATGAGAACCCAAAATACCAAGTTGTAACTAATTCGGTTGAAAAACATCGTCAAAATACCCAACATGCAGTGGACGTGGCCCGCCCATTTTTTCATAAATCACATAAATCACCTTTTCTAACATTACACTCCAAATTTGGTGAAGCTAGCATGTCGGGATATATGTTATGCCGCTAAAATCGCGATTTCAGTAATAGCGCAGTGTTACGCAATTAGAAAAATTATAAATGTAGACAGTCGAAATATTGAAAAATAAAAATAAACAAAAAAGAAAAACATAACCAACGAGTTTTTCAATTGACCTAGAACCAAAACAAAAATCCACAAGAATTAACATATCACAGGTCAACAATAACAATAAAAATATTAACCATATAAAATTCATTCTGACAAATTGAATTAATATTGCTCAAAAATGGATGTAAAACTGCTCAAACAATATTATAATATAAATATATAAAATTTAAAAATATTATTTAAAAGGGAGGGATTGAAACTACTCAAACTTCTTAAATATTAACATTAATTGGGAAATGCAAATTTAATGTGAGGGGTCTGTTAATTGGGAAATGCAAATTTAATGTGAGGGGTCGGAACTACTTAGCTCTCTTAACATATTTATAGTCAATTGGAAATATTAACAATTTAGGGATCGGAACTAAGTACAAGAACTAAGAACATTCCAATTTTGGTAGACATTGTTTTATTTCCCTCCATCATGGCGGACCTTGGATGTAGTTAAAACTGACCAGTACAGAATATGAGCATACGGATATAGCTCTCATCTTCGAACATCACTTGACCGAAGTTACGGTGATGAGAACATACAAATATGGTCAAACCAAAATATGTTATCTCATTTTTAAAAAGCCTGAACAATATCACCGCTCGTCATGGTCTTATTTCGAAAAAAAAATCTGTAAAATCTGTCTGTTGCACTCAAAGATTGTATTATCTTCGATACCACCTAGCTTCATAGTAAAACAAATTTCTTTCGAAAAGTCTAATTTAATAATTAAATAGATTTGCAAATTAAATATTAGGCTTTTAAGTACAAATGTACCAAGACATGGCTATTTATTATTATATGCCGTTACACTACACTATTTATATATCACCATATATTATATGGAATTAGTTCGGTACAACAGAAATACAAACATATTTCTAATTTACAGGAACTTGTGTCAATTCATAAACATTGCAAGCAAGCACCGCTACAATTTGTTTTACTTTTTCGTTTCCACGACAAAGTGGTCTACGATCCGAAACGACCCAAGTCTACGGTCTACCACCACAGCACATTGTGCAAAAGCAATAGGACTGCAACAACAAAAACAATTAGTTTTTAATTCAACATTTCCAAAGCAAAAATAAAAAACAAAATCTTTTTTTGCCGTTTTAAATATTGTTGATTTATTGTTAAAAAGTCGGTGAAGTTTGGAGCCTGGTATATAAATATAAATTGGAACGAGTTCTCCAATGTAAACGATTATCTATTGTTATTACGGTTGTCAACGACAATGACTAGAGACATAATTACATACATACATATTTACAAATAGGTGAGAGATATACCTGCCGTGCAAATGGATATAGGCTGCATAAATATTGACAACATATATATGTCCGTATTGCACCCGAGTTTTCTATTATGTTATGGTAGAATTTAAAAATACAGTATCTTATACATATGTGTGCATTTTTTATACATATGTAGTATCTTAGAAATATTTTCAAATAAACGTTTTCATAAAAATGTTCATTGGACTATTCATTTGATTAAGCCCATCACAAACCCCCCATTTACCGAATTTTACCTAAATGGCTAAGGCATTTTTTCAATGTGACTCATTGCAACACATTATCTGAAATGTAATATTTGGTTGATGTTAAAATTCGAAGTAAATTGTAAAACATTCCAACATACTGGCCTATTCAATTTTCTAAAGGTTGTTGTTCCAGGTTTCAGTTTACTGGCAATTAGCAAAGGGCTCTTAACGACTTGTACAAACAAAAATATTGAAGCTGAATTGTTGTAACTTTGTTTCCCTTGTAATTTGATGAATATTTCAACAAGACTCTATGTGAGTCAATATGGCATTGCATTAGGCAAAATCGTTCTTTTGATTATATATATTCCAATATGTGTAATTTTTGAAAAAAAAACATCTTCATTGACCAATTGCAGATTTTAATTATTTAAAAAAAATTATTTTTCTTAATGGGAAATATTATTTACATAATTAGATCTGAAGTATAAAATACTGAATCAATGCTAATGTACAATATAGTTCTATTTTTGTGTGCGGAAGATGAGGAAGGAAATGAATAACCGGACTGATGAAAGCCAAAACACATGTTGTTGACTTCTGCAAGAATTGAAATATTGTTTACAACGCATGACTGACTCAATAACCGGTGTGTAAAATGTGTTTACATGGACAGTGGCGGACTGGGGGTAACGAAAATAGGCACAGTGGCCTTGTAAATAAATCTATTTTGTAAACGTTTAGCACATAAAAATGCATGCGGATATTTTTTTTAATAACTGGTTACTGGAGAGCAATAATTAGTAAGTAATAACAGCCAATCAGAAGTTGGCATTCCTGTTTATCATTTTTACTCGGACACATTTTTCGAGAAAAAAGTATACAAAGAGAACGACATTTTGATTTGTGTTCTGTTAAACCTGGTTCAATATTTTAACAGTTTGTGG